CACGCCCCCCTCCGGCTCCCCGCCCGATCATGATACATTAAAGTGTTGAAGGCGATCAAATATTAACAGGTAAACAAGCCGGGCCCGCTGCGCTCTGCGCGCCGCTCCACGCCGCTCTAGCCCGGTCCGGTCACGTGTGCGCCTCTGTCACCGTCTTGAACCCCGAACCGTGTTGCTCTCTAGCCTCTCCAGCCGCGGCGCTGGCAGACGGGTGGTGTTTTCACAACCTTGACACGATCAAAAAAATTGATTCAGCTGTATAGCGACAACCATAGCTAAAGACATATCTATGTAGCAACATAGCTACATTTTTAGCTACACGCATTTTTTTCTGTTTGATGGCTACATTTTTGGCTTGGTATCGTGGGCTAGTAATCAGTTATCTGCATAGCCAGTATTTTCCTCCGTGTACAGGGTATGGGACACGTGCAAAGTTTTCTAAGGAGAAAAGGGTGTTTCCGCCTTTACATCTTGTTTCTGATTACTTCTAAATGTTTAAGGACATATTATTGTAACTAGAGCACCGGACCACTGTGTGCATCACAGCGTTCAAATACATGTCACAAAAATACACAATTGGTAGCTAGCTTCTAACACTATTGTATCTGATCTCACACCCAGAAAAATCGTTTCTTGTTTCTGGTAAATTTTTCCTTGTTTCAAGTGCACGCTGACACAAGATCAAAATTTACTCTGGAAACAAGCTGATATTTTCTTTCGAATATGAGAGAAAAATCTTATTCCAAACACAATTTTGCCTTGTTTCAATGGTGAATTTCATCTTGTGTCAGTGTGCACTTGAATCAAGAAACAATTTTTCTGGGTGCAGTTATGCGCACAGAATTTCGTTTCTGATTACAATATTTGTCTTATTACAATGTCTATCATAGATGTTTAGAGTGGGCTTATCGTCACGGCACATTGACATTTTGTATGTTTGGAATATGGCAGTCCAAATTACAGAAAATAATTACATAAATCATAGAGTAAAAATTCTGCCGTAAAATGTACACCTGATGTGATCAACTAAGAAGACCCTCCTGGGATGATGCCGCCTTCTACTAAACCAGGCAATACACACAGGCCAATGACTCGACCTTAGGATGCTTTACAATTGTGCATCGAGATGTCGCGAGTACCCAAAACGCGTGACACGCATGCAGAGCGGCCCCCGGGGCCACTGGCACCACCGCGACGAAGCGCGGTGTCCTCCGTGAGGCCGAGCGCGTACTCACCGAGGGGTTGGCCACGCATCTCCTCATGGGGTCCTGGCCGCGGTAAGTCGGCGAGTACCTGCCGGGGAAACACGGGGTGGGGGCGATGGAGGTCGGGTGCAACGGGCCGTGGCCCTTGCCGTTCATCATCTTGTCCGGGCTGTACATGGCGGCGGTGCGGGCGGCCTCCTCGACGGTGGCCTCGGCCTATTCACTTGGGCGAGCTCCTGGACGGCCTCGCCCGAGGCCGGCGGCCTCCTGCACGGCCCGAGGCCCGCGGCCGGGGCATGGCTGCGCCGGGGCTGCGCGCTGTCGCTGTCGTCCGCTTGCTCGTCGTCTGCTATATCCGATTTGTTTACAACTTGCTGACGGGCCGGCACACACACACGCACACAATCACGCACACACACGACACAACACAGACACACAAGCAGCACAGTCACGGCGCCGTCATGCTGGCAGGTCTCGGTGCGGCGGGCTGCTGAGGGTCAGGGCCCCGCCCGGGCAGCGGCCCGTCATGTCCGCGCGTCCACTAGGGCGGCGCTGGGGGGCTGTGCTCTCGCTCTGCGCACTGCTTCGCGGCGGGGGCGTCGCGGTGCTGCGCGCGGCGTGGCGGCTCGGGAGCTCGGCGGAGCGCTTGCTCGCGGGCCTCGCGGCGGTGCGTCTGCTCCCGCTAGCAGAACAACTATTGTCAGAAATTGATAAAAAGCGCGCGCCAGGCCAGGCGAGCGAGCGAGCGGCGCGGAGGGGTGGCGGTGGTGGGGG